AAAAGAAAAAAAAAAGATTATAAAAGACATAAATTCACATCATCTTGATTTAGAACATAAATTTATAAAACAATTAAAACATAAATTTAGAAAGAAAGAAAAATTAAAACAAATTACTTGAAATCGATCTATAAAAATAGTGTACTTTACTTATAGAGAGGGTGCAAATATCGTGACACTTTATTAAATGCAGTTTAAACCGAATAGAGACTAGATACGAAAAAGACGGGGACCAACAATAAAGTTGAAGGGTCCCGTCCCATCCCAGCAGACATATATTCATACAAATTATTATTAAAACAAAATAATTTAAGAAAATACAAACAAAAATCTAACATCTCACCGTCATCGCATTAGGAAACTCTTTAAAAATAATTATCTTGAGATAAATAATTTTTAATTATATTTTTAATAAAAAAACTTTAAAATTAAATATTAAAAAGACAGAATTAAATTTTTATTAAATGTATAGAATAATTTAGAAATGGGCTTTGAGTCGAGTCATAAGGGTTCTGATGAACGAAATTCTTAACCTAATTGGACGTCATGGATCCAAGATGGACTTTTCCAAGTTGAATGTCTCGAAAATATGGTCGACGATCAACACTCTTGACTTCAATTTTGGGATTTTCGATACCGTGGAATAAGATCGAGCTAAAGAAAGTCCATGTTTTTATTTGGAGATCTCTGTTGAACCGGTTTCCAATACCTCGACTCAACTCCATGTCCGTTGTGTAATGATTTCATTGAATCGATGATCATTGTCTTCTTGGTCGCAAATATTAAAAAGTGAAAAAACACCTTCAAATGGTGGAACTTGGAGGACTTCATCCCATTTTTATATGAATTGTTGTTTTTTTTATTAACTTGGATATTCAATCCGCTATGCAAGCCGACTAATCTCAAGACGACCACCGGCTTTGCAGATAGCCCGGAGTCACCGCATTTGAACCTCTGTGGCCACAAGGGGATTTTTGTTCCTCCTTGGATTTGAACTTGGGACCTCCTCGTACTTTTGAGATGAATTGTTGTTTTTTCAATAGTAGTTGTTGTATTATGAGTTCTTCAAAACGTATTTTGCAAGCTGTAATTTGGATTGTTGCATACTTTCTTTCGAGGAAAAGGAACTTCCGTATCTTTAAAGATGCCGATTTGAGCAATAGTCTTCTTGTCCAAATTCAATCTCGGTTACTCGACTAGATATCTCTAAGGTGCAAGTCTTTCTATAAAATATTGGAATTCTTGAATTGTTTCTCAAAATGTTACCATGATCTAACCTTCATAGTTGTTTGATTTTCTTTTTCTTTGATCCTTCTTGTTTTTCGAGGTCCCTATTATTTGTTTAATTACTACTTTTGATGAAATAGGAAACCAAATAATACAAAATAGACAATAATTATAATATCCTTCTAGTATAATATAAACATATTTCCTTACCACAAGGGTGATGCATGATTAGTTTGAGCTTGGCTCAAAAGATCGAAAGTACCACGAGATCCCAGGTTAATCCAAGGAGGAATAAAAATCCCCTTGTGGTCACGGAGATTCAAATGCAGTGACTCCGGACTATCTGCAAAACAGGTGATCGTCCTGAGATTAGTCGGCTCGCATAGCAAGTTGGATATCCCAATTGATAAAAAAAAAACATATTCCTCGTACTTTTTATTACCAAAATAATAATATTTTTCTTTAACTTGTAAGATGATCCGAATCTTTTATAACAAAAAATATTGTTATTTTTAAACATGATTGAAAATATGAGAAGTACTTCTTCTATAAATAGTTATTTTTTATAGAATTATAAGAAAAATAAAATATATCGAGGATTGAAAGCCAACATATTAAATATATGGGGACACTCACCTCAATCATGTCTTATATATTTCGTATTGTTGCTATCTAATTTCATATAAAAATAACTCAAATAAATCTTCAAATCCGAATGCGCTCGATATTGTCCATCAAAAAATAAAGTTTCCATGACAAACTCAGATTTTTATTTCGATTAAATAAAGTTTCAATTATTATTTTGTATTTTTATACTATTTAATAGTAACAAAAAATAGGCTAACTTATATCTATTTAAACAGTGTTTTTTCATGAGTTGCTCATGAAAAACCACTGTTTAAATAAATATAAGTTAGCTTATTTAAATGTTATGCTTATTTAAATGTTATTTGAATTTGCATTTCAATAAGATTCCGGAAAAAAAATTCCACATCCCTTTGATCATGTCCTTCATCACCATCTAGAATGAAATACCAAGCGGGGTCATGGCATTATCCGTTCCTAATCTGATCTCAATTAAATTATTTATTTTATTTAATATAGAATAAATTACATTTTTAGTCCTTGTGGTTTGTTGAAAATTTCTATTTTCGTTCTTATGGTTTTGAAATTACAACTTTCATCCTAATGGTTTATAATTCATTACCTTTTTCGTCCTTATGGTTTTGAAATTACAACTTTCATCCTAATGGTTTATAATTCATTACCTTTTTCGTCCTTATAGTTTAAAATCTATTACTTTTTTCGTTTTTATGATTTACAATTCATTTCTATTTAGTCCTTAATATTTATAAATAGTATTTTGAACTCAAAGACGAAAATAGAAAGGAATTGCAAATCATAGGAATGAAAACTATAAATTTGAAACCACAGGAACAAAATCAGCAACTTCTTAACAAACCACAGGGACAAAGAACGTAATTTACTCTTTCATATATGTATATAGTATGTGTATAAATGGATATATATATATATATATATATATAGGGGCTGGTTCAAATACTAACCCAATATTTTGTGCAAACTATGCTAACCCATCTTAATCGTTCATTTTCTCATCTAACGGTTATTATTAAATGAGATTAAATAAACAATAATTTAATTAATATATTAATTAATATGTGT